AATGATACAGGTGTGTTTGATGAGTAAGTGTGTGTGATTAATGATACTGGTGTGTGAATGATTAATGATACAGGTGTGTGTGTGATTAATGATACAGTTGTGTGTGTGATTGATGATACAGGTGTGTGTATGATTAATGATACAGGTGTGTGTGATTAATGATACAGGTGTGTTTGATGATAGAGTCTGTGTGATTAATGATACTGGTGTGTGTATGATTAATGATACAGGTGTGTATGATTAATGATACAGGTGTGTGTGATTAATGATACTTGTGTGTGTGATTAATGATACAGGTGTGTGTGATTAATGATACAGGTGTGTGTGATTAATGATACAGGTGTGTGTGATGAATGATACAAGTGTGTGTGATTAATGATACAGGTGTGTGTGATTAATGATACCGGTGTGTTTGATTAATGATATAGGTGTTTGTGATGAATGATACAAGTGTGTGTGATTGATGATACTGGTGTGTGTGATTAATGATACAGGTGTGTGTGTGATTAATGATACAAGTGTATGTAATTAAAAATACTGGTGTGTGTGTGTGATCAATGATACTGGTGTATGTGATTAATGATACAGGTGTGTGTGATACATAATACTGGTGTGTGATTAATGATACAGGTGTGGGTGATTTATGATGCAAGTGTGTGTGATTAATGATACAGGTGTGTGTGATTCATGATACAGGTGTGTGTGATACATAATACTGGTGTGTGATTAATGATACAGGTGTGGGTGATTTATGATGCAAGTGTGTGTGATTAATGATACAGGTGTGTGTGATTCATGATACAGTTGTGTATGATTAATGATACAGGTGTGTTTGTTTGATGATTGAGTGTGTGTGATTAATGATACAGGTGTGTGATTAATGATACTGGTGTGTGTGATTAAAGATACTGGTGTGTGATTAATGATACAGGTGTGTGTGATTAATGATACAGGTGTGTTTGATGAGTAAGTGTGTGTGATTAATGATACTGGTGTGTGAATGATTAATGATACAGGTGTGTGTGTGATTAATGATACAGTTGTGTGTGTGATTAGTGATACAGGTGTGTGTGATTAATGATACAGGTGTGTGTGTGATTGATGATACAGGTGTGTGTATGATTAATGATACAGGTGTGTGTGATTAATGATACAGGTGTGTTTGATGATAGAGTCTGTGTGATTAATGATACTGGTGTGTGTATGATTAATGATACAGGTGTGTGTGATTAATGATACAGGTGTTTGTGATTAATGATACAGGTGTGTGATTAATGATACAGGTGTGTGTAATTAATGATACAGGTGTGTGATTAATGATACAGGTGTATGTGATTAATGATACAAGTGTGTGTGATACATAATACTGGTGTGTGTGATTAATGATACAGGTGTGGATGATTAATGATACAGGTGTCTGTGATTAATGATACAGGTGTGTTTGTTTGATGATTGTGTGTGTGTTATTAATGATACAAGTGTGTGATTAATGATACAGGTGTGTGTTATTAATTATACTTATGTGTGTGATTAATAATACAGGTGTGTGTGATTGATGATAAATGTGTGTGTGATTAATGATGATACAGGTGTGTGATCAATGATACAAGTGTGTGTGATTAATGATACAGGTGTGTGATTAATGATATAGGTGTGTGTGTGTGTGATTAATGATACAGGTGTGTGTGTGATTAATGATACAGATGTGTTTGTTTGATGATTGAGTGTGTGTAATTAATGATGCAGGTGTGTGTGATTAAAAACATCCTCATCTGGGAGATATTGAAAAGAAATTGTGGTAATATACATGATATACAAGAATTATTAGATAAAGCTGTTTTGGTTTTTTGATTCAATGTATGTTCTGATATAATCCACAAGCTGACTTCACTTATATTGACTTACCTACAGTTATCATAAATTTTGGATTGAACCTGTACAGCCAAATAAGTGGAAATCCTGTCAAACTGTTAGTGATAGAGGAGATGACCTCTAACCTTCTAAATCCTGAATCCAATGTAACCAGTATGGTGAGTATTGTTGTATTTACAGTGTCATTTTTGTACAGAGATATGTTGGATGTCAGTTTGTTCTTATGCTCGGTTTATGTCCTTGTAACTAGCAAGCAAAGCTGAGAAATGGACTGCCATGGTAGTCTGTGCTGGCCTTGTTGTGTCACTTTTGTCTAATTGCTTTGGACAGCATGCAATGGGCCTCCCGTATGTTGTTCAGTGAGGTAACCACCAGCTAAAGTGACCCTGATTGTTCATGGGTGATAATTCCAGCAAACAAACATTCAAACAACAAAATTGAACCTCAAAGTGACAAATTCCATGGTACAAATTATGACCTGAAAACAAGCAAAAACATCTTGTTTTCATACAGCTTCTGATTATAAATTTACTCTCATCTTTTTTTTTGCTTAATACATCTACTTGGATATTGTCTGAGTAATTAAGTTTATCTTTTTTGTGTTGACAGAAGTGTGTTGACAATGGCCAGACAGACAGTGCTTGGGAACAGAGAGAGGAAAAAGAGGTAGACATCATCATTAGGCAAAAGTTTTGTGGTTCTAAATGTTGTTTCAGTTAAAAGGTTATAAATTATTGGGTGTGTAAATTCATCTAACAGAGTCCTATAATTTATGTCTTGTTTACTGGGAACACCACAAATTGTCTTCATTTTTATGCTAATTATAAAATTATTCTGTTTACAAAATTTCAGTTTTTTTTATTGGTCTGTGGCAATGGTAGAATATGTACCCGGTATGCATTTAATGCAGTAATGTAATGCTTCAACTTGTCAATTAAATCGATCAACTCCACAAATATAATTTTATCTGTTTTGATGTTATCAGGTACATGGTGTTGACACTATAGTGGAAAAGTCAGGTGCTGTCGGCTCCGATTCTGTTGAAAGTATACGTCTGAGAGAGCTTAAAAAGCAACAACAACACTCGACTGATGGTGATAAATATTTGTGAAGTGTTTAATCCTGGTGTTCAGAATAAGTTCTTTAAAGAAAGTGACTAATAAAATAATTGAAAAGTTTAGAAGTAATTGCTGATCACTGACACTAATTTGTATAAGATCAGGAATATTTATATATTCAAGACATATGTAGTACTTCTTTTTATCTAACTGATTGGATACCATGGTAACAAAGCTTATTTGAGATTTTTTTTTTTACAGGGAGCTGTTTTAAATGTGACACTTCCTTTTTATCAATACTTAAAAGAAGGGTAAGTTAAACTGTATGATGACTAATTTTTAGCTCACCTGGCCCAAAGGGCCCAAAGGGCCATGTGAGCTTATGCCATAGCACAGTGTCCGTCGTCTCTCCGTCAGCCGTCGAGCCGTCCGTCTGTCCGGCGTCCGTCAACTTTTCATTTAAGCAACTTCTTCCAAAATACCAGAAGGCCTAGAATCATGATATTTGGCTAGAAGGTTCCTTTGATGAAGCCAAACAAAGTTTGCATAAAAAAATAACCTTGACCCATATTCAAGGTCACAGAGGTCAAATGTGTTAAAACATTTAAACAACTTCTTCCAAAACACCGAGAGGCCTAGAATCATTATATATAGCTGGAGAGTTCCTTTGATGAATCCCAACAAAGTTTGCCAAAAGAAATAATCTTGGCCCATATTCAAGGTCACAGGAGTCAAATGTGTTAAAACATTTAAACAATTAATTCTGAAATATTGAAAAGCCTAGAATCATTATCTTTGGCCAGTATGTTCCTTTTATGAAGTCCAAGAAAGTAAAAGAAATGACCTTGTCCCAGAGTCAAGGTCACAGGGGTCAAATGTGTTAAACGTGGAACATATGCACGCATATAGTAATGTTGGTCATAAAGATCCAGGTGAGCGATATAGGCCCTCTGGGCCTCGTGTTAATTAATTTTTTAACCTTTTATTGTTGTTATGAATAAAATTGATTATGAATATTTCTATTTCATATCATTTTGAATGGATGATTTTCCAATAAAAAGAGGTAATCAATGGTCATCTGATAAATCTAATAAATGTTTTTATCAACATATGTTTACAGTTCTACTGCCGTCACTGTGGTAACAACTTCTGTACCAAGTGCTGTAACCAGAAGGTTCCAAAGTCCATGTTTGGGGCAACATGTGAGCAACTTAGGTCCATGTTTGGGGCAACATATGAGCAACTTAGGTCCATGTTTGGGGCAACATATGAGTAAATGAAGTCCATCTGTAGGGTGATGTGAATGAGTGAAGCCCTTTTTTGGGGCAATATATCAGTAATTTAAGTCCATGTTTTAGGCAACATATGATTAACAAAGATCCAATTTTGGGGTGACATGTATGACAGACCTAACAGCCCAGACAGAACTAATACTGTATTTGTATTGCAGCCCCAACGGCCATGAAAGAGACAGTCCTGGTGTGTAATGTCTGCTATGACCTTCTCATAAAGAAAAATAAAGACAAGGAGAAGAAAAGCTGATTGGTTGATACCAATAAATCACCATGGAAACCAAGAAGCATACTGTCAGCCTGTCACCATGGAAACCAAGAAGTATCTTGTCTATCAGCATATCTCCATTTTAAACCAATTGGTGCCCTGTGTGATATTTTGGTAGAGAGATAAGGAGGATATAGCAGTGACTGTATACTACCAGGAACAGTTTGTGACACTGTCATAAGTTATCATGCACAATGACTTACTAGGGACAGATTCTCTTCTTACTTAGGGTATACAAAGGTATAGAAAGTGGGTTTGTGATTATCCTTTGGATACAATAGCTCCTGTTATAAATTGAAAGTCTACCTTATAAAGGGTGCTTTGGCGTGAGCAGGTGAAACTGCTGGACTGATTAAACTTTTAAGATAAATGCCAAGTATAAATTGGGACCAAGGCTGGACTGCAGAATATTTGGCACGTAAAGTTTGAGGGATCCAACATCTGGTAAAAGGGATTTCGTGTAGAGTGGAATAATTTCAGACCACCTGAACTGTTTCAACTGGGTTACATGAATGCGGCCTTAATCTGGTTCAGATAAATGGGTGTGATAATGTAAAGAAAAGGAAAACTTTCTATTTATGAAAACTTTCAGAATAACAAAATTTCAAAAAAAAAAAAGAAAAAAAATGAAGAAAGTTTCTGTTTATATTATTTTGTTAGAAAGAAATAGGAGCCATGTTATCTAAAAATAGGCCATTACAACTCACAAAGTACAACAGTACATAACACTTACTATACCAAATTATTACACACTTTATTCTAATATAGAACTTTTACGTTAGATGAAGAGAAGGAAACATAATTAATTATTGGTAGTCCTATTAAATACCATTGAATAGGGACGGTCAGGTTAGTGTTTTTTTAAATTTGACTTTATTTTAAAGAAATTTTTTTGTTAAATTGTGAAACATCAGTGTCAGACAAAAATGTCCTCAGTATATATAAGATATATATATAAGAGATTGCTGGTAATGGATTTATTGTTCTACATCTTATAAAACTATTTAACATTTTGGAAAGTAATTTGTCGCTTGATTTGTACAGAGGGCAGGGTATACTACTTTTAGTAGAAGATTCTGTTTCACAACGTAGAATTATAATTTCATTTAGAAGATACTTCGAGAGTTATTGTGGACTTGAAGTAGCAATAACATTATGGGAGACAGAATTCATTCTTGCCAAATTTACTTTCGTAGAGTTTTGTTATATGTTGCTGATAAGATGATGGTGCCTGTAATATTGTTGTGTTAATTCTGTGAGATTTGTTAATCTTTTATTCTGTTGCCAAGAATTCACGTTCATGTTATATCCAGAAACCAAAACATTGTATCACTGATGATTCTCCAGTTTGTTTTATTTATATAGGTAGAGCCTATAACTCTCTTTTTATCTGTATTTGTTTTTATTATGGACGCATCTGTATTTGTGTTCTGTAGGTTAATATTTTCTGTGTAGTTTCATTTCCTATATATGGATTTAGAATAATTTGGGCAAGTGCAAAGTATAAAGACAAGATGTGACATTTTATGTATACTTAATAAACTAAATAATAATTGTTGTAACTTCATTTTAATAATATGACAGGTTTAACCATTTTTATATAAATATCAGATCATTTAACTTTTTGTCATTTTTACTTTATTGACAAGAATATTTTTACTGAAACCTTAAACCATTGAAATTAACAACATTGTACTGTTATTAATATAAATGTAACATTGGACTTATTAACCTGAATATTCTAGTGCATGTATAACTAATTAAGTGAAATCATCTATGAGGAAACCTTGTGTGCTCACTGTAGCTTTTATAATTTAATCATAAGTACCGGTAGGGTTTTCAGTGTGTAATATATAAGTTTTGAACTACCTCAAGCCATGTGGTATGTTCCAGTATCTTTTTACACTATTTTTTGTTTAAATATGAGTAATATTTTTTAGGTTTTTGTTTTAAAATCTGTTCCATCTCATGAATTTCGAAGGCATGTTTTTGTCGACAGTGTATTGTTATAGACTGATTCTATGAACTAAACTGGTTCTGTTCAAGCTAATTTAGATATTTGGTTGGTATCTCCGGTTGTGAAATTAAAAGATACTGGATGTTAATCTGAATAATTTTAATTTTTTTTTTTTCAGTTTTTTTTTTCCAATTTTTAAATAAACTATATATATGAATAGTTGAGAACATTTAATTTTGAACTAATGGATGGATTAGGATTAGGTAAGAATATTGATGTGTTAATATATTGTGTATGTTATTGTTTTTAATCAATATTGGTTTTAATCCTTATATTTGTTAAGTTTATTATCTACACATGCATGCAGTGTTTTTTTTTATGTATATTGTCCCAGATTAGTCACTAAGAACAGTATTAGACATTTACACCTAACAACAGGAAACAGTGTCACACCAGGTAGGGAGCCTTTATGTGTCCATCTGATAATATATTACACCAATTTTTGAAAGAGTAGGTTTGCATATAACTGCCATTTCATCAAATAGTTACATTCTGGAAAAAACTTTATTTAACAACCCAATTTAATCATTATATATATTTTTTTGTAACCAGAATGCTAACTTGTGTAAAGCATTGATAGAAAAAACTGCCCAACACATCATGTTATCAATTTGTCAGACAGATGTAGTAATCACTATATGATCGAATGCTTCTTTTGAAGTTTAAAGTTTGTTTCACTGGTAACTGGCAATTCTTATGGTCGAAATTTTCATAATTTTCTTTTAAAGCAAACAGATTATATTTTGAAGAATTAAAATTTCACAATGTATGTTTTAAATGACATCTAATGCACACGCCTAATCATTTCATAGACTGAATTTTTGTGTCACGTTCATGTACTGCAAAACAGTGAAAATATCAGCCTTGTAAAGATAACTGGTTATATGGTAATTTTTGTGTCATGTTCATGTACTGCAAAACAGTGAAAATATCAGCCTTGTAAAGATAACTGGTTATATGGTAATTTTTGTGTCATGTTCATGTACTGCAAAACAGTGAAAATATCAGCCTTGTAAAGATAACTGGTTATATGGTAATTTTTGTGTCATGTTCATGTACTGCAAAACAGTGAAAATATCAGCCTTGTAAAGATAACTGGTTATATGGTAATTTTTGTGTCATGTTCATGTACTGCAAAACAGTGAAAATATCAGCCTTGTAAAGATAACTGGTTATATGGTAATTTTTGTGTCATGTTCATGTACTGCAAAACAGTGAAAATATCAGCCTTGTAAAGATAACTGGTTATATGGTAATTTTTGTGTCATGTTCATGTACTGCAAAACAGTGAAAATATCAGCCTTGTAAAAATAACTGGTTATATGGTAATTTTTGTGTCATGTTCATGTACTGCAAAACAGTGAAAATATCAGCCTTGTAAAGATAACTGGTTATATGGTAATTTTTGTGTCATGTTCATGTACTGCAAAACAGTGAAAATATCAGCCTTGTAAAGATAACTGGTTATATGGTAATTTTTGTGTCATGTTCATGTACTGCAAAACAGTGAAAATATCAGCCTTGTAAAGATAACTGGTTATATGGTAATTTTTGTGTCATGTTCATGTACTGCAAAACAGTGAAAATATCAGCCTTGTAAAGATAACTGGTTATATGGTAATTTTTAGTGTGTGTAAGTTTTTCCTGAAAGATTTTTATATTCAGTAATTTTCATGTAAACAACTATACACTATACTCTGTAAGATGTTTTTGTAATATCTGGATATATTTGTTTACTACTACAATTGATGTGAGGTAAACATGTGCTTTTTTTCTGGCTAAAGGTAACTTTTAATGAGATCATTAAAGTTCAAAGTTCATTAAGTGGGAGAGGATTAAATCTCGTGATATATCAATATGTAGCTAAAGTTTGTCTATCAAAAACACTGGCCTTATTTGAATCTCATTTTATTAGCTCAGCAGTATTGAGTAGCAGTATATGAAATAATTTTACAAGCTCAAAGGTTATGGGTAGCTTTGAGCAAAGCTGTTCCTCTTGTGCTGAAATTGAGTCAGTGTCAGTATCCCACTTAAAACACTTTTGGGGTTGAGTTTTTAGAATGACTTCTTATTCAATAAGTCTATATCCCATTTTTCATTTGAGTTTCACCATTTTACTGAAGCTGCTGCGGGTGGGCTATCATTGAATGATAGTTTTTATATATTATCATTATTATATGGAGATTGACAACTAGATCATGCTACATACTATAATTATGATTTGTTCATATTTTATACAAGATACTTGAGTGTCCTCAGACTTGTTAAGTTCTAGTGTATTGCAGGAGATTGTATTTAATAACATTATTATGTATCCTTATATAAAAACATCTACATGATTTGTGAGTAGATATCAAGATTTTAGTACAAATTATCTCCTTTTGGGAACAAAGATGAAAAGATGACTTAATATCTCTTTTTTATGATAAGTCTGTACATCAGCATAGCAACTTAATATACAACTAAAAGATATGTCAGAGATGCATCATATGTCTTAACAAGTAACTGGTAGCTAAATATATTTACCAGTAAAGGTTATCGTGATTATGTAGTAAGGGCATGATAGCAAACTATAAACATGTACAGTGTATTGTGTATACTCATTAAGGATGATATGAACCAAAAATATCTGTACTATTGATGTAAAACAGCAAGTACCTGTTATAGATGTGTATACTGGTTTTTATCTGACAGCTAAGTGTTCTGGGGAAAAATATGAAATATGATTTGACAACACTTGTATGATTTAGAAGTATGCAGGTGAACCTGCTGAATTATATCAAAACTAACTGAACTGTGACCCCCACCAAATCAGTCTAACATTTACTGTTACAGAGATTATATCCAATCAAATGTACATAATTAGAGAAAATTTGTTTTTATTTTTCTGGTAAAGGGGCTTTGCTTTGAATTATCTGAATTTTTGTTTGTTAGTTTTCAGAATCTGTTGATATTGTTTGAATTGTCGTTATTTATTCAGTCAAGTCACACAGACTGCTTATAGTGCATTTTTAGAAGGCTGACTTAGAGACCAATTTCTTATTTTTGTTGGTGTTAGTGCAATGTAGTGGTGAAAGTAGAAAGGCATTTGTTGATCCCACCAACTTGAGTCTGTGGATATCCAATTCACCGACAATCTGTGGTCATTCTGTCTATCTACCCAACAATTCCATACATAAATTACGATGTACGTATATGTATGGATATACACATTTTTGGTTATCAATATTTGTCTGATTTTGTCTCTGGAGATGTTTTTTCTCGTAACTGTAACTCTCGGGATTTTTTTTGTCCTAGTTGTAGAACAACACTTGCATTTGTGAGCATGACAGCAGAATGTCTGCCTGATACCAATTGTGATGCTTATGGTGACAGGTTAACATGGAGAGTACTGTATGGTGCATTTTAAGGTTAAGGTCTAATATTGAAAGGTCAAAGTGTCAACAGAAAAATTATATAAGAATAGGGAAGTATTATGATATGGGGACTTATGTCATGGGTCTATAAGGTCAAGGTTATTTGGTGAAAGTTTAAGGTCAACACAACATGATATCATGCTGTAATGATATGTGTTCTTGGTGAAAGGACAAGGTCATATGGTTATTTACATGCATATTGTGTCCTTAAATTGTAAGGCAACATTCAGGCAGAAGAGATTTACCTAGGTGTTGGCTCATATGATATCAATGTCCTTGGGAAAGATCTTCTATGACCTCAGATGGTGAGGGCTATCTCTGAGACTGGGTTGGTTGGTTACAGGTTTTCTGTCTTTGTGACTAGGTGTTGTCCCTCAACAAAGGCAGGTGTTCAGGCAACATTCTGGAGATTGTTATTGTTAGTGTACTAGTCGAGTGTGTGTGATGTCTAGTCAACATGTCCTAACAGGTAGTTACGGAGAGGATAAGTGGGATTGTGTACTTATTTTTACAATTTTTATAGTGAGCTCCTAATCTAATGGTAATTTCTGTTTTATTTTTTTCATTTTAGATAACCTTTATGTCGAATTTTTAACTTCATTTATTCTCAATTTCCTTATTCATGCATGATACATATTTTTGATCATTTATTTCATTGTTCATGTCATGTCTTTTTAGGAGAAAGCAGGTCTTCAATAAAATAAACCTTTTTCAATATCAATTATACTATTGATTAAGCCTTACAGTGTGTGGTTCTCTTCTGTGATTCGAAAAGAGATTAACATGGAGAAAAAATTACTTGGTTATGACTGTTTTTAAATCAATTGGTGACATTGGAGTTGAATTGAAATTAAAGGATACATGTTTATGTAACACCTAATTATTATGGTATCTTAAGTTAAACATGATGTTGATAAAAATCACATTCAAGATGTGTAAAAAAGCAGATATCCTAACAAATTGCAAGTACAGTGTACATGTACAACACGAATTGTAAGTACAGTGTACATGTACAACACGAATTGTAAGTACAGTGTACATGTACAACACGAATTGTAAGTACAGTGTACATGTACAACACGAATTGTAAGTACAGTGTACATGTACAACACGAATTGTAAGTACAGTGTACATGTACAACACGAATTGTAAGTACAGTGTACATGTAAAACATACATCAGGCAGTGTGTTACAACACAAATTCTGTTTATGGTTTGTAATTATAAGGAAGTGCATGTACATTGTATGTACTCTTAACAGTTAAAGAAATCATAAATGGAAGTAAGCTTTAATGTTTTGCAGGAATTATAAGGGAGGTAACTTTAAACAAGGAGGGAGGGGTGGGGGGGGGGGGTTGGGAAGGGGGGAGGGGATGAAAAGTTCAACTGATTTGGGTTTAGTCTTGA